TCCAAACCATAAATCCTGTAACACCCGATTTGGCCCCTGGTTCTACTTCTTAAGGCCGCATTTGCCATCGCCATATATTTATTCCCCAAACTCTACTCTACTCATTTAGGCCTTACTATCCACCTTCAGCGTCACCATGCTCAGGCTTTCGCGATTGTCGACCCACTGCCCTTTGTACTGCCGGCCGTCCTGCAGAAGGGGCTTTGTCTTCAAGCTCTAGGGCTCTCGGGTGGGGGGGGGGGCTGGACAGGGCCGTGTTAGTCAGCACCTTCGATCCTGGAAACCGAAAGCTTCCAACCTACCTCTGCCCTGTACCCGACCATACGAGCTGCAGCCCAACCCCGAACCCTCGACTCCCTAGACTCCCTAGACGCCACGACCCGAAACCTTAGTCACACAAAATGCACAAAATCCAAACCCCTGAGGCCCAAAATGCCGACACCCCCTTAAGCCCAAACTCCGCAAGGGAACCCCCTCGGCCTAGACCCCGCACACTCCCAAACCCACGCACCCCAAACCGCAAGCCCCGAAGACCCGAAGTCGAAGCCTCATGTAGTCGAGGTGTTTTGATCCACAAGGTGTTGTGGTATATAGCATAGTGCGAGTCTATATTTCACGAACCTCAAGGAACAATATTGGCAATTCTTGGTTCTTCTAACGCTAAAGACCCTAAACCCTAAACCCCTAAACCCCAAAACCCCAAACCCTAAACCCATAAACCCTAAACCCTGAACCCATAAACCTTTAAACCCTAAACCCCCTAAATAAAACCGCGGGCGCCTTCCATGTGAAGGTGCCTTCGCCTTCGACCTTGTCGGGGCTCTCACGTGAGCTGGGGATCCGAGAGTTGATGGGTGGTTTATAGGGTTTAGGGTTTATAGGGTTCAGGGTTTATAGGGTTTAGGGTTTATAGGGTTTTAGGGCTTCTTGGGTTTAGGGGTTATAGGGTGTAGGGTTTATAGGGTTTAGGGTTTATAGGGTGTAGGGTTTAGGGTTTATAGGGCTTGGGATTCAGAGTTTAGTTAGTTTTTAGAGTGTAGGGTTTAGAGTTTAGGGCTCGGGGTTTAGAGTTTAGGCTTTTTTCTTTTTAGGGTGTAGGCTTTATGGTGTAAGGAGACCCAATATCGACACTTAGTTCAGTTAGCAGTGACCATTTCCATTTTCTAATCATGCACCGCCCCTTAGCACCCAAACCATAACAGCCTGTACCTCAACCACTTTCGGTGAGTTGAAGGTTGAGGTGTTGGTTGTTTTGGGTTGCGTGCTAGGGGCTGGTGCATGATTATAAAAATCGAAATGGTCACTGCTAACCAATCTGGGATTCCAGGGCCCCTGGGTCAGGGACAGCTAACCCCTAAAGCAACTCAGAGTCGCATTCAAGAGCTAAAATTATGTCACATCAGCACAGGCACGAGCAACAACGGCAACAGTCTAGTCAGTGTTCAGGGTTGAGGGTGAAGAGTGAAGAGGTGTTAGTCTCAGGGGATGATGGTTTCATGCTTTTGGAGGGCGGCTTAGGATTTCGGGGCAAAGCTTTTAGGCCGTTGGCTTGCAACGATGTAGGATGCCACGAATTCAATCCACTTACGGTATTCAGATGTATAAAACCACCTGCAAATCCTTGGGTTCTGAGGCAGGCTGGCTAAGCATCAACTTCATAAGCTCCTCTAACCTATGACTGGTGCAAACACTGGGGCAAAGCTCCGGGCGTTGTTGTTGCGAAACTCGCCGTCGTAAACGGAGCCGTCTGGCCACTCGAATCTGCGGACATAGCAAAAAAGCATCTCAGTTAACTCTCTACGAACCGGGAGCTGCTTGATATCGGAACCCCAAACCTGACCATTCCCAGAGTAAGGTTGCTCTTCAAACTAGACCCACTGATGCTCCAAGAGTGCAGGTAATGCACTGCAAGTGGTAAGCTCACTACTCACTACGTGCCCAACTCTGAACCGTCATCCCTCACCTGAGGACTCCCTGTCTATATGGCTGTCTGATGAAGCCTTGAGCGTCACTTTCTGAAGCAAGGTCACAGAAAACACTGCGGAAAGAGCAGCAGGCTCGAAACAAATGAAGGTTGATATGGTCATATTACACGTACCCCCAAACCGTGAATCTTAAACACAAAACACCAAACCCGAAACCCTTCGCGCAAGACCCCCCCCCCCCCATGGAACCGGGACCCACAAATCTCAAACCCAGGACTCGGACCTGAGCCCTGAACCCCGCATCCCAAGACCCATAAACATGCCGGGGGTTTAGGGCTTAAGGTTCAACCCCCGAACGCCCTACGAACCTCTAAACCCCGAGCCCTACACCCGAAACAGTCGAGCCTGCCCTTTCCGTGCTTCTGCCCGTGGGAGTAGGTGCCCGTGTACTTGGACGTGTCATCCCACTCCTCGACTTCGGTTTGGCTGTGGGCGCAGGGGTTTAGAGGGCCACGCCCCGACGCAAAAGCCTTAAACTCGAAGAGGTTTTTTGGAATCCCCACATCCCGAAGCTCCAAACAAAAGAACCCTTCTAGACCCTAAACCCGTCCCAATGCCCTGCTCTGCTGTTTTTGTGATAGGCATGCCCTGCTGATCCTTACACTCGCAACCCTGTTCCCCTAAATCCCTAAACCTCCAAGCTCCTGCACCCGTACTAGAAGCATTGCAGAAGCATGTTATGCTATATGATAACGCTCACCATTTCAAGAAGCCTTGAACCCCTAAACCCAACATGTTGCCCAACCACTCGCAGCGCACTGAAACACCCTAAACGGTTTAGGGTGGGGTTTAGCCTTGCGGAAATTCCAAAGGAAAGCCACACGAACTTAGCCAAAACCTTTAAGGAACGCTTGAAGAAACCCGAAAAGAAACCTCCCAAACCTGAACCGCGAAACCCTAACCCCAACGAGGCCTCCATAATTGCCTGAACTCTAAACCCTCGAATTCGGAGCCTTAAAGCCCAAGAGGGCTCCTCGACAGCTTGGCCGTGCTTCAAATCGCTCTGCCACTCGCCAACATACTTCGACCTTCCAACTCTGGGCTGCGCTAACTAGGGCTTTTGGAGCTCTTTTCTGGGTTTTCATGGTGGCTTATTTGGGGCTCTGTGATAAGGGTTCTAGGTTGGTCATGGGGTGTGCCCGGACCCCAAAAAACCCATTCTTTTTAGGGCTCCTTGCTATGGATTCCTTATTGCATGTCCTTAAAACAGGTAGGTTATGTGGGGTTAAGGTAAGCTTTACATAAGGTTTGAGGTCTTTGGACTTTTTAGCTTAGGGTCTCACGGATCAGGCCTCCGGGGGCAGGGCCAAAGGTTGGGCCCAAAAGCCTTAACATGACTCCTTAGAGCCTTCGGGGAAGTTAGACTCGGGCAAATTCGATGGTACCGAGTCTCCCGCTGCTTGGAGGTGTACGTCCCATGACCTGGTTCGGAACTTCTGGACTCCGCGTTTGTAGGAGGGGCATAATATAGGGGCCTTAGTCACTATAGTAGTATGGGGGCTCCTAACTGCAATTAAAGTATAACGCATTTACTTAGGTTTCTAGAATACCAGCAACACTCTGCAAAGAAGTAGGACGTGATGGGTCAAAGTGGGCATATATACTTCAACTGGGTGTGGGGCAATCAGGTGCGCGGCGTTGAGTCTAGCGCCCTGGTTTGGATTTTAGGGCCGGGTTTTTGTCTGCATCTGTTTCAGGGCTTGAGAAATCTTTGCCCGTGGGGGTAGCAAACTCAAAAAACAGGTGCTTAAGGTTTCTAGCCAACCCGAAACTCTACACCTGAAGCCCTAAACGGCCCTGAACCCTAACCTCCAAACCCCCAAACCGCGCCACATTGTGTCGAAGTGGGGCTTAGAATGCTACCGAATTAGACAAAGAATTGTCGAATGCTTTTTTGTGGGCTTCGGGTCCTTCACAAGAGAAAGAAGTGCAACCGGTAAAAAGGACTACATTCCAGGATCTTGTCTTATCTAAATCTCTCGGGCGATGTTCGTCGATGCTCTTCTAAGAAATTGCTCTCGGCATCATTCTTCGGTAAAACGGCCTTGTCTTCTAGTGGTTCTAATGACAGTTCCGGCTTTAGAAATTGGCCTGGTAACACCTCATCAACTCTCTCTCTCTTACATATTAGGGGCTTCGGGGTTTTAGGGTTTAGTGAGTTTAGTGGTAAATCTCGAATATTTTTCAAACAACTAGGGGCTGTGGGCTGATGGGTTTTAGGGGCTCCGCACGTATCTTATGGACATCTCGGCATTAGCCATGAGTCTCGCATGTATGCATTACCGAGAGGAACGGTGGTCTTCGGCACCCTGCCTGAGCATTTGAGATCAGTATGCACATATAGACGAGTATGTAAGTATCTGCAAACGTCTGTTTACATCTATATATATATATGTTACATTATATAACATATATTATGTACAACTTGTGCATCTCTGTCTGTTACAGTTGTTGTACACATACCGCTATAGTATGAGATCTGCGAGCAGTGTTTAGCAACACAATACCCCAGCCACTCCTGTTCAAAGGCTTTGTGCCAGGCGCTGTACAGATGCTTTGTGCTATACACTGTACAGACGGCATAAGCCTGCACTGACCATGGCATGGGAGTTGTTCTATGATCTGTGATGATCCAGTCTTGGTCTTGGTCCCTTCTTGACATCTTTGTTCCATTTTTTGGGGGTACCCCTTAAGCCCTGAAAAGGAGCCCGTTGTACTCCGTAGAACAACCCACCACTTCTTTGCAGAGGCTCTGAACAACAGCATAAGGTTGAAGAGCCAGGCAGCTAGAAAAAAAATCTCAGCGCACTAAAACGGAGCTTTTCCAAGAAGTCGGGGCTCTGCAGCTAGTAGAATCCTAACCCCAGGGATAGCTGACTAAAGACGGCACCCTACTCCTCGACAGCTCTCAAAATCGTGTTGTGCATGATGCTCCTGCGACTTCACAGAGCTCGGGGCTGTTCCTCCAAGCCACTCCCGTCGCATCCCAAACACAAGCGCTTCACTCGCCTCCCCCTAACAACGGTGCACATATGCTGCACAGAACTGGGGCAACGTCGAGGCTTCTTGGTCGTCACGAGGCTGCGGCGCCTCCGGCCAGGAAGTCCTGTCCATCTCGGGGCACCCAGCGACAGAAAAGCACACGTCGTGGTCATAGCCGGGCATTGGCCAAAGCCCCTGGAGAGATAAGATGCTGCAAATGCGCTCCTTCACTCGGAGGATCGTGTCACCAGGTTCCGGATAGACAACTGCGGTCCCGAACATCCGACCAGCACTCCACCCATCCTCATAGAAGCAGAAGATGACCGAACGCTCAAGTTCTTGTGCTTTCATGAACGCCAGCTTCCTTTCCACATCTGCGAGCACATTCTTTGAATTGGTAACGAAAGCCTTCAACTGCGATGGATCGTCAGTCTGCGGGGGACCGTAGTTGGTGCCCCAACCATTGCGTAGTGCAATTTGCAGAGCACCACTGTGGCGCCTCTCTGCCTCATACAAGGCTTTATAGTCAATGCCTTCATCCATCACGACTGCAGCGAGTCACTAGGCTGCTAGATTGTTCAACCTGGTGTCGGCTTGAGACAAGGCTTCTCTCGCCTAAGCTCGAACCGCAACAAAGGTGAAAGACCTCGAAGAAAGGAAACATGTAAAGCATAGGCAAATGGCCCTATACCCCTAAAAGCACCTTTAGTCCACTCAATTGCTGAGCATGAAGCCATGTGCTTTGCCATCCTGCCACTCTCCTGGGTGAAGGAAACAGGCTTTCTGCTTGGGTTTGGGTTTTGGCTTTTGAGGTTTGGGGTTCAGGGTTTGTGGTTTCGGCTTGGGGATTTGTTAACCTCGTTAGGCTTGCGAATATTGCTGCTTGGGGATGCGTCTAAGGCTCAGGGCTTAAATGTCGAGTTCATCGGGATTTTGGTTGACGGAAGACTTAGGACAAACATGAGCCGCCTGGCTTCGTGCTACATGGTGACCCCAGCGTAGCAGGACAGGTTGACCAACAGGTCCCAAGACAACACCATGACGACCTCAGCATTCTGACACCACTAGGCAGTGCCTCGGTGTCCCTTGAACACAACAACAAAGAGTTGTTGCGCATGTCGCGTAGAAGCCATAAACCACTGAAGCATTAAAGTACTCTTGCCACTGAATCTATCTTCCTACGGACTAAAAAAGCTCTCACGGAGTATTATCGTACACAAACCTGGCTCTGGTCCACGCGGAAAGGTTCTGAGCTGTGGGATCCACTTAGTACCAGAATACAAACTACCTACTACGAAGAGTTTAGGGTTTAGGGTTTTAGGGTTTGGGCTAGCTGGATACATACCAGGCTAGTCAACACACTTTGCCAAGCGGCCATCGTAGACGTCGCCGTCGGGGTAGATGAAGCGGCCCTGCGCAAGGAAGGAGGAATGTCGCTTATTCTCGCATCCCCACACCTATCGTCGTCTTCTACTACGAAGCCTAAGCTAAGAATCTCTGAAGAGATTTTAAAGTCCGATAGGCTCTTAAAGCGGATCCCAGTATTGGGTTCCTAACCCTAATAGCCTAAACCCCACCCCTCCAGCTGAAACTCTCAAACCGACAATCCCAACAACTAAGCTTCTACGGTAGAGCATCTGAACAAAAGTGCCAAAGAACCGACATGACATCCCAACACCCGGTGTTCCAATCCGCTGAGGTTGAGTTCGTAGAACCGCAGCAATCAAAAAGGGGCCAATATCCCCGGCTGAGCCCTGACATGTCCTCACTTCCTGCTTTTCTTTCTATAACTCTAGCTGCGTAGCTCTGTCAGCTTAGGCTCTGGGCTCTAATTACTTTCCCCTAAACCAGGATCCGCAGACCCGAAATGCCAGACACCTCAACCCAGCCGCACCTGACGCCCTTGAAGCCCTAAATCCCAAAACGAACACCAAACCCGGAGCCCAAATCCTGCTCGAATCCCAAGGCGTTCATAAGTCATGTGGAGATTCCATAAAGGGGAGTATCTTGGTTGGGGCTTTTGGGCACGTTTTTATGAACATGAAAGCAGTGGACATGAAGGGATATACTCTTACTAATGTTTTCAGGCGCCTGTGCAACCCGCTTTTCTTGTTCTGGGTGCAGGATGGTGCAGGAGAATTCCTGTATTAACAACAGTCAGCGCCTTCCCATGCTTCAAGCCATCCTTCCACTGACCTTCGTATCTGGAGCCATCCGGGAAGACCTGCGCATCTGCTACTGTAAGGGTTGTAACCACCTGCGATCAGGTTGTGGGGGTTGGGGGTTGGGGTGTGCGGAACCCAAAATCCCTAAACCTTAAAATCACAAGTTATCTCTGATTCAGGACTCTTTGAGGCTTTTGAGCTGACAGGACCCCCGTTGTTCAATCTTTGCGAGCCTCTTCACTTTCATCCTCAAGAGCTTACATGGTCTAGGGTCTTCATTGCAGTATCGAGTTTACCCACTCCGGATCGGCCTCGAAGACAACGAACAAAGGGCCGCTGATGAGTGCACCGCCCTACTGTGTATGTATATTTATATATATATATATATCTATATATATATATATATAGAGATAGATAGATAGATAGATAGATAGATAGATATACACCTATATATATATATACTATGCAGAGAACACCCTGCACATCGACCCAGTGAGTCTCCTAGATGCAAACGATTCCACACTCAGCCCCAGCTAGTTGAGTCTAGGGTAAAGTGTTGGCCCCCCAGGCGCCGTTGGGGCTTCTTGCAAGTTTGTTCGCGCCTTCGAAACATCGATCTCTGCATCTGCATCGGGCCCCCCTTCCGCAACCTCTACTGGGCCAAGCCCGATGCAAACCCTGAGTCCTCGCGTCCGGGCCGTGTACAGACCCGCAGCAAAACCCGACACCATCATCACCGTGACTTGGAAGCTGGATCTCTGAACTTAAGCCGAATTCCTGCGCAAACCATAAACAGTACACACCTTAGATTGGACATAATTAGGGTAGTGTTTAAAGTTTAGGGTTTTGTATCCCTCAAACTAGGTCCTCAAGTCAAGCCCGTGCTCTGTCTCGGCCTTATAGTTGTAGCCATCTCCATCTGCTTGTGCAGCCGGCGCTCCAGGCTGCGAAAAGGAAGAAGCGTATAGGGCTTCGGGTTTTGGGTTTAGGGTACGGTAGTTCTCTATTTTAGGGGCCTCTGGTGGATGCCGAAAAGAGCACACCACTCGTATCATCAGGACCTTAGGCGGGATTTTGGTGTTAGAGAACTATGCATGCAGCGAGTACGTAAAAAGAGCGGACACCGCTCTAAGCAGGATAGACGCAGTAGGCTTGTATTGGTCCCGATTAAGGGGCCTCAACAATTAGAGTAGCCTTCTGGGATCTTTGATAGTATACTTCTACTAAGAATATTGTTGGAAATTATTCCGACTTCTCTATCAGTCGGGAAAGTTTGGTCATGACTTGCTTACTGGTACCTGGGATGCTCTTTGCAATCACTTGGGTTTGGGGTTTAGCGTGTGTTCGGTTTCATGGCTTTGATGCAGACTTTGTGAGTCTTTTCACAGGACTACAAGGATGTGCAAGGTTGTTCGGGATGGTGGAAACTAGGATTGTCAGTTACACAGGCTCCATACTTGCTTGGCCATTCTCAGGCCTCTTATTATGAATATTAGTATTGTTATCATTATTCTTATTTTTATTACAATTTTTTAGTATTAGTATTATTGCGGAAGAGGCAACAAAAGGGCATGGCGGGGTTGGGCGGGCAGGGCCGGCGCAAGCACGAAAGCGAGGAAGTCAAAAGCTTGAAGCAAAAGAAACAGCGTAAGCGACTAGGACGCCAACTGTGCTGGCGAAACCTAAACCCTAGGCCCTAGGCCTAAACCCAAAAAGCCCTAGCCCTGAACCCTAAACTCCTAAACCCCGAGACCCAACGACAACAAACCCCGAAGCCCGAAACCTCCGAGCCCTAAACCCGAACCCCTACAACCCCGAAACCCCTGAAACCTTGACCCCGCAACCCTAAGCCCTAAATACTAAACTCTAAACCCTAAAAACCCCGAAACCCTAAGCCCCAAACCCTAAAGACCCCGAAACCCCAAAACCCTGAAACCCAAAGCCCAAACACCAAAGCCCTAACACCCTATGAGACCCCGGAAAGGCCGGTGGCCTGCGCGGAGCTTTTCGCCTTCTGCTGGGAGGCGGGAGCCCCGGCTTGCACCGGCTGGGACCCAGCAAGCTGCTCCTGCCAGGATGTTTTAGGGCTTATAGGGCCGCTTTTCTTGAGCTGTGAGATGCTTTATAGGGTGTAGGGGCCAGGGTTAAAATGTAGGGTTTATATAGGGCTTATATAGGGTTTACGTATTATAAGAGTTTTGGAGGCTATAGGGGTTGGTGGAATTTTGTGGTTTTTGGCTTCAAGGTCTAGCCTTAGACTGCGTCATAATGAAATTTCCATGCAGTTCGGCAAGTTTGTATGGGGACGCCCGCTGGCTCAATTAAGGCCCTTCTCGCAGCGACTTCCGTGCAACTTCTGGGACTTCGGAATTTATCGACTAGAAGCATCGAGGACTTGAAACCCTAAACCCCTAAACCCTAAACCCGAAATCCTAAACCTCTAGACCCTCCACCTTATAAAACCCGAAACCCGAAATCCTCAACCCCAAACCCTACAAATGAAAGGATACTCTCCCGAATCGCTGAGTCCTTTCCTCCCCCCGAAACCAGGACAGCCCGTCAGACTGAACCTAGCCTCCCCAGTTAAGCACCCTCCATGAAACCCTTCATTAGGGATTTGGGGGTTGTTCTTATGCTGTACTTTGCTATACTGTACTATGCTATACTAGACAATACCACACTATACTACGCTAAACTATGCTATACTATCTGCCCACCACCAGTCACCTGTCCAGCTCAGGACTTCGGCTTCAAGGAATACAGACTCCAACCAGCGTGTAACTTACGGTTTAGGGTTTAGGGTTTAGGGGTTTGGGGTTTAGGGTTTGGGGTTTAGGGTTTAGGGGTTTGGGGTTTACAGTTCTTACTACCCTGTCCTTCTGCCCCTGCTTGGCTTCAGAGCAGCAAGCCGTGCCCATCGCCTCGGTTCAACAGCCTGTAACTCCGCAACTCGAAGCCTCCTACATCAAAACCCGGGTTTAGGGTTCAGGGTTTAGGGTTTAGGGCCCTAAACTCTAAACCTGCAACGCCCAACAAACCCACCAGTAAACGCTGTTTCCGGTGGAGAGAACTCATCCGTGGTAGCTCTCTGAACATTGAAGCTCGCAAAGCCTGCGCCCGAACTACCAAATAGACTCCGGGAATGACGTGGATGTGCTTCCTTTCGGGTTTAGGAGTTTCTGAGTTTAGGGTTTAGAATTGGAACAAGAAGGTGAATAAGGGGCCTTAACAACTACACAAGGGCGTTGGTGCCATTCTACAATGGGACTTGGGAACACTTGGGCTTCCGGCGTGCGTGGTCTACGGAATGTGGGTCAACTGCACAAGGTTTCGGATTCAATATTTCTGCCGTGGACCTACGGATCAGGTTTCGGGATT